CTTAAATGTGTGTGTTTATTAGTGTCCGCCCACTTTTCAGTGGCATTAGTTACAGAAGCATTTTGCTTTGGATAAAAGTGTCAGCTAATTTAATTCTTTCTTTTTTTTTTTTTACATTTATGCATTTGGCAGATACTTTTATCCAAAATGACCGGATTGCATTCAAGGCATAAGTTTCATCAGTTTCTAGTTTCCCTGGGAATCAAACCCACAACCTTAGTGGTGCTAGTGCTATGCTCTAGTGATTGAGCTGCAAGACTCTTTCATGTTTCTTCATTAAAGCATTATATCAACCAGCTACAAGGTAATTCACAACAATACAAACTTTTTTGAGGCCAAACATTATTTCAGAATTGGACAAAAAGACACAGGTACAAGACTGTGTACTTAATAGCTTATAATGAAGGAAAGAACTACAATCCCATGAAGCATTTAGAATGACATAATCAACCTGCTACTCTATCTATTTGGAAGAACTGGATTTCCATAGTCTCCAAGATTTAGGTCATTTGATCTAATGATGTCATTCTGTTGTTAATATTATTACCAATTCTGTTTGTATATATTTTTATATATTTATTAGATTTTATGTTGTTTTACTTTTGTGTTTATCTGGGTCCTGGGGTGCGATGGGGTTGGTGTGGGATGGGGGGAGGTTCTGGGAGGGTCGTGGTTTATTTATTAGGTTTTCTCTCCTTTGTTGTAATGTGTTTTTTGTGTGTTCTATCAAAATAAAACACAGTGAATTACAAAAAAAAAAAGAATTGATCAAATTGATTAAGAATGACAATGTTGAAATACAAAAATTCCATTTAAAATTGTGATCACATCAATATAAACAATACATTTGAAGTTTATTGCAAAATATGCATAAAACAACAAATATTTATGTATTTTGAGAGCACAGGGAGACCGACTCACTCAATTATGTCATTCATGGTGCTTCGTGGAAAAAGGGGTGTTCGCCACAAATTATGCTGTCAAACATTATGGTAATTTGATGATAATTTGAAAAAATGCAAACAGATTGCTTTTACAACAGCATATACCATCGATTAATACCCTCAGACCTAACAAGGGTTCAATTCTTCAATTCTGGTGGGCGATTTTCTAATGGTTTTGAAAGAAGTCTCTTATGCACATCAAGGCTGCATTTATTTGATAAAAAATACAGTAAAAATATAAATTTTGTGAAATATTACAATTTAAAATAATAATGTAATTTATTCCTGTGATGGCAAAGCTGAATTTCCAGCAGTCATTACTCCGGTCTTCAGTGTTACATGATCCTTCAGAAAGCATTCAGATTTGACGTTCAGTTTTTATCAATTATTATTGGTTCTTAATTATTATTAATGGTTCCTATTATTATAAATGTTAAAAAAAACATGACGTTTTCAGGACTCCATGATAAATAAAAGTACATGGAACAACATTTATTTGGAACAGAAATGTTTGTAACATTATGCAGGTATTTACTCTTATCAAGGTATTGACTTTTGATCATTTAATGTGGCCTTGTTGAATAGAAGTGTTTATTTTCTTTTTCTTTCTTTCTTTCTCTAAAATTACATTTTACAATATATATTAAAACTTAAATTGTAATAATATTCCTCTATTACTGTTGTACTGTAGGCTATTTTTGATCAAATACATTTTCTTAATTATTCCAAACGTTTGACTAGTACGGAAAGTTGTGGTAGCATTTTGCTGTAAAAATATGTTTTAAAGGGGTCCTATTATGCTCTTTTACAAAGTCTTGATTTTGTTTTGGGGGTGTACTAGAACATGCTTTCATACTAGGTTGTTCGAAAAACACATAATTTTTCACATATTTTACATTATTACAATACCTCTCTCCTCAGTCTGGCATGAACGGCTCAAATAGTTCCTGTATCAAATGAAGGCCCGCCTTCTGAAACACGAAATGTGCTGTGATTGGTTAGCTGGGCCAGTGTGTGTTGTGATTGGCAGCACTCGGCGCCTGGTCGGGAAATGTCATACTCCTTCCCATAGCCGCCTGCCAGCTTCAGTGTAAATATTGCGTCAAAATCAAATCAATTTGACCGCGATTTAAACCCGGATGATTGTAACCACTCTAAGTTCGTCTGCCTAGGGAAAGCTAGCTAGATAACACTCGTTGCCTTCCCTAGTGCAGCTCATCCAGGTCTCGTCCCATTCGTCGATATTTGTGATATCACAAATCCCGGAAAATATGCGTTGTAGTCCAAACGAGTCGGTCATTGTAGTTTTTAAAAAGAGATTTCTGTTAAATAAAATATCTCCTTTTGAAGTGGACGTTGAGCTTTGTAACTTTGTAGATCTTTTTTATGCTCAAACAGCAACATTACAGACTAACTAAAGTTGAAAAAGTGAAAAAGCAGAATAGGACCCCTTTAAGATTCCATTGGTTACAGAGCTAGTAGAAATCTGGGGAAAAGACTGTGTTATTCATGTGCTTTGAGAAATTATGTAATATAAGCATAACAAATGACATGCATGCGTAATTTCAAAAATACATGATAATCAAATTAAAATGTTATAGTAGTTTTTCCAATTTGTAATCGCATTTTCTAAATATATCTTGACGTGTAGCCTAATAACATTTGAGCGACAGCACTAGGAACGTGAGATGTAAATATTAATAATACAACGTTACAAACATTTTGTAAATCGTCTATCTAGTGTGTTAATTTTGTTCTTTATCTCACATTCTCTTTTTGAATATGCTGTTCAACTAAATGCAAAAAAAGGCCTAGTGGATATCAAAATGAGAGAATTTTTAAATAATTTTAATAATTTCCCAAAATCCAAGGTCACTGCTTACTCCTATTTTAACTTATCCTTACAGGAGAGGAAGGGCAGTTTCTTTAAGCATGTTTCATAAATTAATTGTATTCTGAAGCACAGTAGGCTATAAAAAACTTAAATGAGATATTTGAAGAAAAAAAAGTTATTGGTGTTATTCTGGTACCTGGTGCCAATTTCCTTAATCATATGACAAACCCTATTTAACTGGCATCACTCCTCTACTTCTCACTGAGATTGCAAGATGGCGGGCTGGTCTGTGACTGAAACCCTTGTTGTCCAGATGAAGGCCAAAGTGACACTGTTTTCACTCTAATCAGATCAACATTGTAAACAAACTTCTACAAAAATTAAGAGGAAAAAATCAATGAGATGCGATAAAATAGCTTCTCTTCCCTGCAAATGATACAATGAAGAATGAATAAATGTTTAACTTGAAGGCAAAAATAAAACAAAATATAAGCAGGTTTCCATATAGAAAATGAGAAGTAACCATGGCAAAAATTTTTTTAAAAAGTTGGCCCTTCCAAATCTGTGATTTCTAGAATATTGCAGCTTTACAATGACACTATTCATTCAAGTCCCTCAAAAATGCTGGTCATTCATGCAGGGACGCATTAAGACCTCAGAGCTATGAGTACTGCAGGGCCCCCATCACAATAATGATATATATAGCTTTAAGTAGGACTTTTATCCTATCAACATTTTTTGATGCGCTGAAATTTCAGAATTCTTGTTACCAACTTCGATATCACACAAACAAACATAATACATAGCCTAAGTAAAAACAGGCTTACTGAAGACAAGTAAACAGTCATGAATTACAATAGAACAAACATGTCTAGTTCCCTTTACATGTTGTTCCAAACTCATAAGACTTCTGTTTATGGTAGGAAAAATCCAAGCACAAATGGTGATATTAAGTTATAAGATATTTTTAATAGTCTCACATCAGTTTTGTCCATTCACTAAACCAAACTTTTAAAAAAAATTAAATGAAGAGACACAAATGATTAACAGATTTATTTAGGCTTATATTCACATAAATACTGAATAATGCACATAGAGCACATCTGATATGGTAAACATGGTCAATCTTAATTTTGTGTTCTGAAGATAAACAGAAAACGTATGGGATTGGAACATAAGTTTGTGTAAATGACAGAATGTTCAGTTTTTTAGTGAACTATCCTTTTAAAAAATGGCTTACTCAAATTGTTCCAGTCACTGTAGAACACATAATGATTTTCTTTAATGAAGTTATCATAAACAGTCATACACTGTACTAACCACTTTTGCCCATTAACCCTTTTTTCTCAAATAAATCTTTATTTTTTTGTGCAAATAAATATTACAAAATTGACGATTTCTGGCTGAGATTTATATCACATTTTCCACATGTTTACAGCTAGACTGCGAACACCCTGTTCTGATGACGCAAGAGTTGCATCTGTGGCAGCTGAGAAGGCCATTCTTTGTGTTCTTTTTGAAGAATTTTCGGAGCCTGATGAAATCAGTATAAATACGTGTTTAATACTGCAAAATACGCTCGATGGTACAGTCACTGCCCTTGCCCTCCAGAATAAAAGAGAACATCCCAATCAAATGAAGGGATTTGTGGAAACTGGTTCCTAATTATTGTGATCCAACATTTGCCTCGCATTTCAGGATGAAAAGACAAACATTTCAGGTGAAGGATAATCCACTTCTTACCTCCAAGACTGTGTTATGAGCTATAAGCTATGACCTTATTATTTTTATTGTGAGTATTAGGCTTATCATTATTGCTGATCGCTGTTGTTGTGCTATGATATTGTAATATTTACCATTATATAATCAGAGGCGTATAGAAAAGTTTATGAAAGTGTCGCTCCATAATACAATAGCAAAATATATAAATATGTATAGTATTTTTATGTAACATTAATCAGTATTCCCGAAGACTCGAGATGAACTAATCAATTCTCTTTCCGGCTCAGACTACATTGGTTAAGCTAATGGGGCTGTCACGTGATTAAACGAACGACTCGGAAAAACCCGAAGACTCAACCAGGTTAACTACTTGACTAATTCCAGTAACGAACCTACAGGTGCATCTCAATAAATTAGAATGTCGTGGAAAAGTTCATTTATTTCACCTGTATATGATGTTGCGCATGCGCGAATGAACGAATCATTCCCCGAGACGACTCGTTCTTCAAAACGAACGAATCGTTCAAGAACAATCCAACACGACTTCAGTGACAACCTGCTTCTTTGAACCACAAACTAAGGGGATTAACCTGCGAATATGACCAAAGGGTGAGAAAATTAGTGGCAACAGATGTTTAACGGTCTTTCTTTTTTGTGCTTTTAGATCAGCCGCCTCAAAAAGTTGCGTTGACGGTATTACTTAGGGGCATTTATTATGGTTTTAAAATCATAGTGGCTATGCTTTTGCCAAACTATACGTTACTGTAAACGTGATCGAATCAAGATGCAATGTTTTTAACTTGACGTTAGTTTTCACGCGCAAACGGGTAAGTTAAGGTTATAACATCCGGTGCGTATTAAAATAAACTGCTAGAAGGTTAATAAACGTATGTGCGCAATGATATTCTTTACGAAGCTTCGTATGTATATATTCATTCATACTTTTTCGCCGTTATTGCCGTACTGAATTTGTTGTTTTAGTTGTACAAGCAAATGGAGGCGATGCCACATTTACAAACTCTGTTCGACGACAGTTTCCAGATGGGAGGAACTCTTAACTCCCTAATGATTTTTTCCGTAAACCTGTTTTGTGAACGGAACTGAACTTGACAACCAGTTGTTGTGTTGTGTGTTTTCATGTTAGGGTGACTCACATGGGCATGAGCTGTGTGTCATGTTTTACATCTAATTCTAATCTTCTGAGCTTCCGTCGTGCGTAACCCAAATGCTACTCTGAACACTAGTTGTGAATAAAAAGCACAGGTGAGCTATCTAGTGTCAAATTAATTTCCGGTTTCGAGAGAATAGAAACCGGGCTTGACGTCAGGTATTTTTCATATATAGCGGCTCGAATAAAGTGTTTATTACACTGCATTTGGAGTCACACCCACTGATCTATAATAGAGATCATTTATATAGATCAGTGGTCACACCTGTTATTAAACATGTTATTTTAATACGTACAGTTCATACAGACGTTAACATGAATACATCTCTTCTGTGACAGTTTCAGTGTTTGAATTAAATGCAATTTAAAATATGTATTTTGTGGGACTTAAAGAAAAAAAAGGTCTAGGTGGTATGATTATCTAAAAGTTTAGGGGGGTAAGGTTTAAAGAAACGACGGTTAACGACTGTTAATATACTAATCTTGACTTTCTTAATGTAATATAAAAAGACATTTTAAGATAAATTAAGAAAAAAAAATATTTTTGTTTATTATTACCATTATTATGTATGAATATATATTATGTCCAACACAAATAAAACATTTTAAAATAATAAAAAAAAATCATGTTGCATAACCTTTGGACTTTTGTCATTGACTAGATAGGTAGAGATTAACTAAAAATAACCATGCTAGCATTAATAACAATTGCGATAGTTACTACAGTTATTGTTGTAAGTATTGCTGTCTTAACTAGGCAATACAGCCAGACTTGACTGATTTTAGACGTTTAAAGTCGTGCTTTCTCTACTGCAGACAAGGCATCGATCAGGAGCTCTCAGATGTGCTGAATGAACTGTGGAAGTTGGATGTGAACCGCATGAAACCTGGAAAATACTATAAAGTCAACCTACAGGTAGGTGGTTGGGAGAGGAGGCATGTTTATGAAGAATACATATATGAATAAGTAAATGCATTGTAATATATTCCACATACGTGATTGCAGGTGACTTTATCAATCAGTCGTTTATAGTGCATTGGTTTTCTCACAGGGGAAGGCTGGCTTTGTAGCTGAAGGCAGTAATAATGCCAGGGACAGCGCTAGAGCTCCTCTTTTCTCCTATGTCGATGAAAAGAAGCTCAAAAGCATGGATACTTACGCCCGTAAGTAGCTATAGGCCATTTCTATACTAACATGTAATAACATAGCATGTTTAATAGCATGTTTTTAATTGCATCCTTATACTTTAATGTACTAAAATATAATTTTTTTAGTTTTCATTAATTACTGATGTGATGCAATGTATGGCAAGAGTGTTTAGACCGCTGTTTTATTTACTTTGTCTCTTCTCAGACTTCCTAAATCTGCTTGACAATTATGAGATGTCTACAGGAGTGACTGAGCATGTGACAAAAGAGGAGCTTCAGGAAAATCATCTTTTCCTGGATGCTATGCTCAAGACAGAGGTCATGAAGGTATCTAATCGCTCACCGATCACTGTTTTTGCCTTGCTATTTAGTAATGTCATGTTTGCACATGTAGAAATTTAGCAACTTAAAGAATTTTAAGTGTCTACTATTGACTGTGTGACTGACAGAGGTTCCTGACCAGAGTTGGAAAGTAACTAATGCTAAAACTACAAAAAAAAAAATCGCCATTTTAAATAATATTTAATATTTTATGAATATTCATATTATAGTAAACACTTGTTAAAGCACATTTTTAATATTTATTTATTTATTAAAATGTGACATTTATTTATTAACTTGCAAAATGTGGTTTAATGGGAATGGATGGTTTGGATGGGAAGTGGATAGTGAATATGGGAATGTGAGACAAATGTGCAAATAAGCTTTGTAGTACAGGGATGTTGGTTCAAGGAGGAGACTATTACAATAATGTGTAAAGATGACATTCTGCAAATACTTGCAAAAACTGGACAAGTGAAGAGAAATATTATATTCTTTCCATCCTGTTCTGAAAGGTTTTGTCTTTGCAGTGTGCCCACAGGTTTTTAGTCTGCAAAGGTCTAGCTCAGTCAGATCTGGCTCAGTTTAAGAGCCAGCTCTATGACATCTGGTTTAAGCTCTATCGCAGGGACAAAAATGGAGGGTGAGTTATAATCCTCCTTTGAACGGGCTGGCATACATCACATAACCTGAACTGGGTTTGTTATATTAGTAACTGACATACAAGATGTTAAAATCCTTTACCATCTTATTGCTTAAAGCCTTAGCATTTATACATTAAGAGGTTTTTATTGATCGGCCATCTTCCACTTGTCTCTGAGGCAGTGAAGATTCCTGTGGATTTGAGCATGTTTTTGTAGGTGAAACCAAATATGGTAAAGAGATCATGGGCCTCCACAACTGGGTCCAGTTTTACCACCAGGAGAAACACAATCATGTAAACTACAAAGGATACAAGGCCAGAAATAACAAGGACACAGTATTTCAACATTTCAAATTTATTTGCTAAGGGAAATATAATATGACCAAATTAATATAGCTTTGTTTGCATTACTTCCAATGTTTACATTTGGTTCAATTTCACAGCCGGACGAGGACGATCACGTCTTGAACCTGCAGTTTAGCTGGAATGGCCTGGTGAAGCCGGTGGGCAGTTGTTTCATTGGCGTCAGCCCAGAGTTTGAGGTGGCTCTCTTTACTATTGTCTTCTTTCTGTCTGATGAGCGTGTGACCAAGGTTACAGTGAAGGTAGATGAGTATCTCCTTGAGATTGTGGTGTATAGATTTGGGCGCTCCATTGGAACTTCATATCCCAAAATGATCAGCAGCAACAACCGGGATTTCTAGATCTTGCTGCAAGGTCATACCTTTTACGATTTGGAAAAAAAGAGGCTAACTTGGACAAAATGGGATTGATAATCCAAAAATCACTATTACAGCTTGAGGTTCTTAAATTCTTAAACTTTAACTATTAGTGGGAAATATATGTGACCAATGTTTTAAAACTTTGTCAGATTACAAATGATCTGTCCAATTTTGTAAGGAATCTAGTTGTACTGCTATAAAATTCTGCATAATGATAGTTATGTGCCAAAAAATAGAAACTCATCAGTTTGCAGTCAGGCCCTTAAAGTTGGTTGATGCTTAAATTGCTTAGAAATGTGTGTTTAGCCTATAAACTATATAAACAGCTATTTTGCATTAGATGCACTAAGGTTAGTTTCAAAGAATATACACATTTTTATTGTTTTTTTTTAATGCTATGCTAACAGTGATTTATGCATAGAAGTTTTGCATTGACCCAATCTAACTGCTGCAAGCTTTTAGAAATCATGTTCTTTTTTGTTAATCGAGCAAGTTACAAATCAGAAATGAAACACTTATTTGTATTTTATTTTATGAGACTTAAGCCATCCACACTCACTGTCAATGGAGTGTACTTTTTGAATGACTTGGGCGCTCATCTGCACTAGATGGAGTGGAATGTGGAAAATGGGACTTCATAGATGAAGAATATCACATCCTGGGAACTGTAATGCATAAAATTATTCTGCACACTAATAATTTAGCTTATATATATATATATATATATATATATATATATATATGTGTGTGTGTGTGTAAACGATACTTTGTATACTTTAATGTATGTGCTAAAACACTACTGTTACAGTATGTGCCTTTATGTTTGTTACATATAAAGACCTTTTTCATTCATACAGTATAACATCTTGATGTATTTGTTTATTAATAGCTTTATTTATTGTTTATTCCAGTGCTTAATTCCACCTTTAAAATTATTTCTTATTTGTAATTTCTGCAAGAGCTTTAATTAGTAATTGTAGAAAAGCAGTCTTTGAGTCTTTCAAGTTAAGATGCATGTGCATCTTTTCCAAAATTAAATTACTGCTTTAATTCAATATATTTGATAACACTGGGGTTGAGGAGCAAAAAGGAACATACATTCAAATATAAGCAAAACATTTTGATTTGCATTTCTACTGCAAATTGTAATATCTCGTGGTCAAAGAAAAATATAAACTTTTAAAAGGTTTACAGCATGAGATCAAGACTTCAGATCACATGAAACAAAAAAATAACACTATAAAACCCATTACATGTACGATACAATGCTAAATGAATAAAGTGTAACATTAGGAGCAATTATTGATCAGAAGAAATGAAAACGGAAATGATGCTAGACTTGAAACTGTGATTCCAGCAAACCCTTTTGGCTCCGTTTTGTGTCATTGCATGTGTCTGTATCTGATTCATTTATTTCCAGGACTTCCTGGTGGTCTTGGTTGTCTTAGTTCCTCTTTGATGGTCAATAACGCGGTTCCGCAGAACATTGATGTCATACTTCTGCCTCTTTAACTTTTCTGCCAGCTCAAACTTCTCAGCATGTAGTTGACTGAGCCACTTCCAAAGGTCAAGGGCTTTCTCACCAAGCTTCTCTTGGTTGAGATGATCGATGTTGAGCAGTTTGCGACGCTCCATCAGACATTTGGTCTTCTTCTCGCGCTCCGTCAACCTCTTGCCCTTCTTCTGATCGACCTTCTGCAGGTAGCCACCGTAGCCCTTGTTAGAAAGGATCTTCTTTTTCCTGGCATCCTCCTCAGCTCGCAGTTTGGCGGCCTCCTCTTCACGCCGTGCTCTTTCCTCGGCAAATCGCGTCTGCCTCTCGCGATCACGCTCTGCTCTGATGCGCAGCTGGTCAGCACGATCGGCCCGACGCCGCTCAATGCGGTCCTTCAAAGCCACGAGGTCATCCTCTTCCTTCTGCCTGGTGGAGAAGTGCAGCTGAATGAGACTCTGCAATTCATTGAAGTCCTTCTCTGCACGCTTCCGGTGGATGTCATCAAAGTCCACCTTCTCTCCTTCAGGCAGCTTTGGTGCCATAATGTTGGGAACAAACATCTTGGGCTTTGGTTTGGTGTCCTCCTCTGCCTCTTTCTCATCCTCTATCTCCTCAGTTTTATCTTCTTCAGCCTCTTCTTCCTCCTCAGGCTCTTCTTCAACCTCCTCTTCAGCCTCCTCCTCTTCCTCTTCATTCACCTCCTCCTGTTCTTCCTCAAACTCCTCCACAAACTCCTCTGTGTCACACATGGTGCTCTTTCTGAGTGTTTTGCAAAGAGGGGATCACTGAGGTATGACTGTACAGCTGGTGGTAAAGATCCTGAATGGACTGAGATGATCTCCATGGATGCCTGGTGGCTTTATAGGGGCCTCCCTCCCCATGTGACATTTACTAAGTGGCTGTTGGGTTAGCTTTTTGAGCAGATGCACCTAGGATCTATTTTCTACCTTGTAGGGCCTTGTCTTGTCCTATATTCAGACCCTGACCTCTAACCTCTGACTCTGCCACCCTAAAACCTTTGTGGTGTGAGGAGCCTATTTCAGACTCAAAACAGATGCACCCTCACACTTGTGCATTGGTAGGGATCCTCTTTCACACCATGTTTGATTAGATTAACTAACTATTTAGGCATTGATTTAATTGGCTAGCACCAATAGTTTCGTTCTACCCATTGCTTAGAGTATAAACAATGTCTTTGTGTCATTTATGGGTTCACAGTACTCTCATTAATTCCATTTCTATTTCAGCATTCCAAAATGACGCAGAGAATTTTGTACCCCACCCCTGAGACAATGAATGGAACCCGATGATGGAAGACAGAGAGATAACAGACAAAGACAGACAAGTGTTTAGTGGCGTCTATACAACTATTTATGTATTAACATTTCAGCTGGCTGACTACCATTGGAATCCTATAGAGCAACCGCCATTAATTTGGTTAAAAAAAACACTGAGTCATGCCAATTTCCTATTTGATATGTAATGTGGGTGAAAAGCCTTTAAAATAAAGTGTGTGTGTGTATGCATGTATATAATATATATACATATACATATACATATACATATATGTTTTTTTAGGATTGCGAAGGAATTTAAGTTTCTCCACAGGTCTAATACTTCCAAGACAACCAGATAACACTGCGGCATCAGTATGTCTCCACCTTATTAATGCTGGTTTTAGTGTTACATCATTGTGAACTCATAAAAAGTGCACTTATATGCACTTAAGTAGCTGTGTCCGGTTTACACATAATCAGTGTGACTTGCTCTTATGTCCTTTAGTAAATTCCTCCTTAATAATAGTCACGAAGGATATAAATGAAGGATAATTATGTCCCTCTTCCTCCCTTGTTTGTTTATAAATAGTGTTTATGGTCTCACTGTACCCTTGTACTGAGGGGTGCAAGCATGTTTGTGAGTGACAGGTGGAGGTCTTATTTAAACCAGATTCCTGATTGGACAGAGGAAGCAAGGGACAGCTGCATCTAACAATAGGGGCCCAGTGTTTGGGACGATTGACAGCATCCCCAAATAACCAATCATTTGGTAGCAATTTTTCCTCTGTAGTATATAGCCTACATAATCATCATCATCAAACTCGGTCCAAAGGAGGTCCAAAATCAGACAAACAAATAATAATACACAAAAAAACTACAGTATCACATATTTAAAAATTAAAACGCCATTTATATTTGAAAACAAAATAGATTAAAATTGTATGTATGTATCAGAAATATTTCTCGCTCTTTACTATACAGTATAAATTACACCAATGATCGCTAGGCGTGTTTCCTTCAACATGTTCCTGGATCAACCGTTTACATCGACACTAAATTCCTTGTGTACTTACGTTCTCTTGCGTGTACTAAGTGTACTCGGAGATTAAAATGTATAATCCAGCATTAAATGCTTTTTGAATTTCCAAATAGATTATTCTAGCGAACGGGTTGGAAATGTACGTAGTATCAGAAAGCAACAACTAAAAATGCTCATGCCATACACTGCATATTCTACTCCTAAGACTCCTAAACGATTGGTGAAGCGTCCCTTCGATAGCTCAGTTGGTAGAGCGGAGGACTGTAGCGGATCATCACTGAAATCCTTAGGTCGCTGGTTCGAATCCGGCTCGAAGGAGATCTTTTACAACTGTTAAATCTGATGTATGACCGCTGTAGGGTTGTTTTAAAAGAGGCGTGGTTTGTAATTAAAAGACATCTGATTTGCAGGAAGTATGGTGTGGCTGTGAGTGTCTGCAGTGAATCCATTAGCCCACATAAAGGACGAAAATGACACTATAAGCTGTTAATAGTTTGCATTCTCAAACTGCAGTCTTACATGCAATGAGTTATGTGTTAGTAAGAAAGCATATAGATGCAAATAAAGCTTTTCATTACTTCAAAAGATTATATAAAGTGAACTAAAACGATTTTTCCTCAGTTCAAATTTAGTGATAGCCTACCTACCATGATGTTTAAAGTGTACCGGCCTACATCAAAATAGTAAGTGTCTTCAAGGCATTCTGAAATAATAAGTATAATAAAGGCCTAATCATGAATTTTTTTTTTTTACTGTATTATATTATATACGTTCCCACATGTGGAATTAATTTTGTTACCACAGGTGAAACTGTAACATTTGAGTAAGCAAATCGCATGAACAGCGACGTCGTGTGGACATAGACGGACTTTATGATTCTGTGACAAACTGGTTTTTTTTTTTACCTCTTCTTTCATTTCACGAGGGAGAGTAATTTAGCTGACACTTTCAGTCAGATGATTCTTCTTTATGACAGAGAAAAGAGGTGGCTTTGCAGTTTAATTTATTATGTAATGAAATGGACTGTCACTTATTACGCAACACGACAGATGTTTATGTTTACGGTTTATGCATGTGCAATTTTTTTAACATGCAGGAAAAAATGATTTCATATCTGTCCAGTCATCGTTCACGGACTGAGGTTACTAATACAAAGAAATAAATAATGATATTGTAGACGTCACGTTTTACGTAACGTGGGGGTGTGGCCAAACAATTCATCCATTCGAGTCACTGCTAATATCCTTTTGTAGTGTAAACAAACATTTCTACCGTTTCGCTAAACTTTAATATTATGTTTTTTTTTGTCCTTGGGTTACTGACAATCTGAACAGCTAACGTTTGCGCGTTCCACTCTGTCTTTGTGTTTTAGGTAAGCAGTCAATATTGTAATGTTTTTAAGTAGCATATTCTGTCTCATTGCTTAAATACAGCCCTCAAAATTGTTACAAAATTACTTAATTCACCCTAAAAATACCGTATACCAGTGTCTTCGCATTACATAACAAAACCAAGGAGCATTTGTTGGGAAATAAATAGCATAAACAAATTAAGTGTGTGAGAGTTTAGGTTGTAAATCAGTACATTGATTGCTTATCGTTCACGGACTGAGGTTACTAATACAAAGAAATAAATAATGATATTGTAGACGTCACGTTTTACGTAACGTGGGGGTGTGGCCAAACAATTCATCCATTCGAGTCACTGCTAATGTCCTTTTGTAGTGTAAACAAACATTTCTACCGTTTCGCTAAACTTTAATATTATGTTTTTTTTGTCCTTGGGTTACTGACAATGTATCTGAACAGCTAACGTTTGCGCGTTCCACTCTGTCTTTGTGTTTTAGGTAAGCAGTCAATATTGTAATGTTTTTAAGTAGCATATTCTGTCTCATTGCTTAAATACAGCCCTCAAAATTGTTACAAAATTACTTAATTCACCCTAAAAATACCGTATACCAGTGTCTTCGCATTACATAACAAAACCAAGGAGCATTTGTTGGGAAATAAATAGCATAAACAAATTAAGTGTGTGAGAGTTTAGGTTGTAAATCAGTACATTGATTGCTTAACATTAAGTTTAAAACAGTGTTTGGACCATAATCAGTGTTTTGGATATTTTGTGATTGTCAGACGTTATAGATAATGTGGTGAACTGTGATTAGACATTTGCTTGAACTTGAGTAAAACTGTCTTTAAAAAATCCACTTAAAATAACCTTAACACCAGATAGTTACAGGTATTTGCAAAATAGTTCAAAGGGTTAGTTTTCAGAAAATGTTTAGCAGCATCTGTTTGTTGATGCTGCTTGGTTTGATGCAGTTAAGTTCATAAATATGGGGTTTAACGCTCAAATTTTATCTTACAATTTCACATATATATATATAAGATATTTATGCATTTCTTTTAATATTTCTATTAGTAAAAATATATATAATTTATTTATATATTTATTTGTTTATATACAGGTCATCAGCTATGCTGTTTAGTGGAATCGGCATTAGTCACCAAAACAATTTCAGCAGACTGCGTGACAGAACAGCATCCCGTAAGTAAATGAGCGAGACAGCATTTACATTGACACTTTATTAAACAAGTACAATGTGAGAGGATGAGAAACACGGTGGTGAATTATAGTTTCATACAGTTTACAGCAATGGAGAGACACCCAGATAGAGAGGAGGACTGAGAAGGTGTACAAGACAGATGTCAATCTGAAAAGAGAGAGATCACAAACATTTGTGGTAGAGGCAGAGAGAGAACGAGCAAGCAAAGAATAAATCAAGAAAAACGCAGTGCAAGCAAGCAGCCCGAGGAGAGGCTTAGTAGTGTTACTACATGGACAGTCTACAAATGCTTTAAAATGTTTTCATAAAGAAGAGAGTAAAATTGATCCACAATAATTCTTTATATCAAAAATATATCAATGGGTCTATAACTACATGAAATAGAGAAAGCACATACAATATTAAATATTTACATTTTGTATGTGAGTATTTGTCAAATCCTTATATACACAAAAATTTAGTCCCAAACAGTTCAAACATGAACCCAACGTTGACAGAACATTGCAGCTGTGCAGATCACAGAGCCACAACGTAATTCCAATGTTGTCAGGATGTTGGTGACCACTTGGGTGAAGTCCCTGTGATAATGTACAGTCTGATTGTTTCGAAGTGCTATGTGTTGATGTGCTTATAGAGAGAATCATGCACTCCCATCAATCGCTCCCATCAGTGGGATTTTGGTTTCCTCTGTAAAAATGTGAAACGTAACAACTCGGAAAAGGTGCAAAAAATAAATAAAAATCAGGCCTCTGCGAAGTCGTGCTGACCGCTTTGCATCGACCATTTCTGAAAAACACAAGAAAATGCAAATGATGCTTCATGAAGTATAAGAATGTGAGAGAAAGAAAAACAGAAACACTTGAAAAAAATGTATTTTAATAATTTTATTATTATCCTTTTCTCAATTTTAAATTTGATACGGCATAATTAATTAATTATAAATTCAATGAAAATGTAAAATATCAAAAGTTTGGGATCAGTAAGATATATTATTATTAAAATTTTAAATAATGGCTTTAATATACTATAAAATATAATTTATTTCCGTGATGCAAAGCTGAATTTTCATCAGCCATTACTCTAGTCTTCAGTGTCACATGATCCTTCAGAAATTATATTAATATACTGATTTATTATCAATGTTGGAAACAGTTGTGCTTCTTAATAATTTTTTTGGAACCTGTGTTACTTTTTCAAGATTTTTGATGAACAAAAAGTTAAACATTTATTTTCTCTGTCATATAGCATTTATTCAAAATATAAATGTTTTCCACCAATATATGTGACCCTCGACCACAAAACCAGTAATAAGTAGCACAGGTATATTTGTAGCAATAGCCAAAATATATTGTATAGGTCAAAATTATTGATTTTTATTTTATGCCAAAAATCATTAGGATATTAAGTAAAGATCATGTTTCAAGAAGATATTTTGTACATTTCCTACCGTAATTTAATAAAAACTTAATTTTTGATTAGTAATATGCATTGCCAAGGACTTCATTTGGACAACTTTAAAGGCGATTTTCTCAGTATTTTTTTTTTTTGCACTCTCAGATTCCAGATTTTCAAATAGTTGTATCTCAGCCAAATATCGTCCAATCCTAACAAACCAGACATTAATGGAAAGCTTATTTATTCATCTTTCAGATTATGCAGAATTGTATGACTGGTTTTGTTGTCCAGGGTCACATATGTCTTTACTATCACTTTTTATCAATTTAACATACCCTTGCTGAATTAAAGTATTAATTTCTTTCAAAAAAAGAAAGCAAAAATTTAACTGACACCAAAACTTTGTACAGTAGTGTATATTGTTACAAATATTGTTACTCTTTTCAACATATACAGTATATATATATATATATATATATATATATATATAAATAGTTCAAAGGGTTAGTTTTCAGAAAATGTTTAGCAGCATCTGTTTGTTGATGCTGCTTGGTTTGATGCAGTTAAGTTCATAAATATGGGGTTTAACGCTCAAATTTTATCTTACAATTTCACATATATATATATAAGATATTTATGCATTTCTTTTAATATTTCTATTAGTAAAAATATATATAATTTATTTATATATTTATTTGTTTATATACAGGTCATCAGCTATGCTGTTTAGTGGAATCGGCATTAGTCACCAAAACAATTTCAGCAGACTGCGTGACAGAACAGCATCCCGTAAGTAAATGAGCGAGACAGCATTTACATTGACACTTTATTAAACAAGTACAATGTGAGAGGATGAGAAACACGGTGGTGAATTATAGTTTCATACAGTTTACAGCAATGGAGAGACACCCAGATAGAGAGGAGGACTGAGAAGGTGTACAAGACAGATGTCAATCTGAAAAGAGAGAGATCACAAACATTTGTGGTAGAGGCAGAGAGAGAACGAGCAAGCAAAGAATAAATCAAGAAAAACGCAGTGCAAGCAAGCAGCCCGAGGAGAGGCTTAGTAGTGTTACTACATGGACAGTCTACAAATGCTTTAAAATGTTTTCATAAAGAAGAGAGTAAAATTGATCCACAATAATTCTTTATATCAAAAATATATCAATGGGTCTATAACTACATGAAATAGAGAAAGCACATACAATATTAAATATTTACATTTTGTATGTGAGTATTTGTCAAATCCTTATATACACAAAAATTTAGTCCCAAACAGTTCAAACATGAACCCAACGTTGACAGAACATTGCAGCTGTGCAGATCACAGAGCCACAACGTAATTCCAATGTTGTCAGGATGTTGGTGACCACTTGGGTGAAGTCCCTGTGATAATGTACAGTCTGATTGTTTCGAAGTGCTATGTGTTGATGTGCTTATAGAGAGAATCATGCACTCCCATCAATCGCTCCCATCAGTGGGATTTTGGTTTCCTCTGTAAAAATGTGAAACGTAACAACTCGGAAAAGGTGCAAAAAATAAATAAAAATCAGGCCTCTGCGAAGTCGTGCTGACCGCTTTGCATCGACCATTTCTGAAAAACACAAGAAAATGCAAATGATGCTTCATGAAGTATAAGAATGTGAGAGAAAGAAAAACAGAAACACTTGAAAAAAATGTATTTTAATAATTTTATTATTATCCTTTTCTCAATTTTAAATTTGATACGGCATAATTAATTAATTATAAATTCAATGAAAATGTAAAATATCAAAAGTTTGGGATCAGTAAGATATATTATTATTAAAATTTTAAATAATGGCTTTAATCTACTATAAAATATAATTTATTTCCGTGATGCAAAGCTGAATTTTCATCAGCCATTACTCTAGTCTTCAGTGTCACATGATCCTTCAGAAATTATATTAATATACTGATTTATTATCAATGTTGGAAACAGTTGTGCTTCTTAATAATTTTTTTGGAACCTGTGTTACTTTTTCAAGATTTTTGATGAACAAAAAGTTAAACATTTATTTTCTCTGTCATATAGCATTTATTCAAAATATAAATGTTTTCCACCAATATATGTGACCCTCGACCACAAAACCAGTAATAAGTAGCACAGGTATATTTGTAGCAATAGCCAAAATATATTGTATAGGTCAAAATTATTGATTTTTATTTTATGCCAAAAATCATTAGGATATTAAGTAAAGATCATGTTTCAAGAAGATATTTTGTACATTTCCTACCGTAATTTAATAAAAACTTAATTTTTGATTAGTAATATGCATTGCCAAGGACTTCATTTGGACAACTTTAAAGGCGATTTTCTCAGTATTTTTTTTTTTTTGCACTCTCAGATTCCAGATTTTCAAATAGTTGTATCTCAGCCAAATATCGTCCAATCCTAACAAACCAGACATTAATGGAAAGCTTATTTATTCATCTTTCAGATTATGCAGAATTGTATGACTGGTTTTGTTGTCCAGGGTCACATATGTCTTTACTATCACTTTTTATCAATTTAACATACCCTTGCTGAATTAAAGTATTAATTTCTTTCAAAAAAAGAAAGCAAAAATTTAACTGACACCAAAACTTTGTACAGTAGTGTATATTGTTACAAATATTGTTACTCTTTTCAACATATACAGTATATATATATATAATTTTGACACACATTTTTTTTTTCCACACAACTAGTGACATACCTGATGTTTAAGAGCTGCTCTGCCTCTGGACTTTTGAGCCTGTGACAGGACCAGACTCCTCGCTGTGTCGTTTTCCAAATGTCTGGAAGGTGCTGCTGTGTAGCCCTCGTCCTGACAATGACATGTAAAAATTATAATGCTGCCTTTAAAATCTGTATGACATTAGACTGCCCTCTGCTTAAATGTGGAGGTCATTACCTGGCTGTACAGCAGGACCAGATATCTGTTGGGACTCTTGCCTGTAGCACATTGTGCTACTAGTGTTGCCTAAAAAACCTGCAAGATAAACAATCATGACATGTTTTGCATTTAGAAAAATAACAATACTGCTGAGATTTAATGACAGATTGTTGATAACTACAGATATAGATATTGATGTGTCATTGGCATAGCATTTGTACCTTGAGGTGGCATGCTGCTGCTTGTTTGGTGGTCTCCTTGTGAGTAAAGCATCGTTCTGCCATGCCATTCACCTTGAGAATAGCCTGAGATGAATTAAAGAAAATCTATCAGATATAGTAGTGTGTATGTTATAATTAGTTAATTCACAATTTAATTTTTCATTTTTTAATTGAAATTAAAATGAACAGACATGCCTAATATAGTGTAGCATGTATAAAATATAGGGAAGTTAGGGAGTGTCCAAACCTGAAGGTGCATTGACTTCCTTGGTCACATCTCCTGTTTGGAATCCCTTTATGGTTGTGGAATTGTCACTATTGCCATTAGGGTTGGATGGCACCATTGCCAGCAGTCCTGTAGGGAGAGAGGCATCAGTCAGAGAAGAACACAAACTTGTTCCATCCAGATTCTCTGCTAATCCAGGCATCCAATCATACACAATTTACAAAACTCCTTTCAAAAATCAGCCCTCAATAGAAGCCAGAAGCCTATAAGTTTATAAGGATTAATCACATTTACATCATTTTTTGTAGGTATAAGTCCTTATCTGTCAAGAAATGTTGCAGGCAACATATTCAGAGAGTGATGTATGGTTTAGTGTGGCATTTTCTTTTCCCTTAGTCTTTGTCTTACCCAGGCCACGGTAGCAGGACAGTTGCTGGTAGATCTGTTTCATACGCT